AAAACTCACCTTTCGGAACTGTCACATAGCCTTTAGCTTCTGTTTTTCAGGATGTTTAAAACCTGTTAAAGATTTTAAATGCATTCATTTCATTTATAAGAAAAAGATTTATAAGGTACATTTCAACGCTCAATTTAAATTAACCAAAACCTATTACTTTCCTTAAAAGGCATAGAAGACTCCAGACAGAATGTACAAATTAATTAAAAGTGATGTGAAGTGTGCGGGATGTTAGGGGATATTGGGTCATATGAATAAAAATGAGAACTTTCTCAGGAGTTCTTGCTCCGGAGGAAAGTGAGTCTACTCCGCTGCACTGAGCAGAAGCTCCATTTCTTATGAATAAAAAGTTCGTATGTCACCAAAGAACTTACTCATGTCTCGTGAGCATTTGCTCGTTGTGAACAAGTGATAGTGCAGGCTAAGAGTTTTAAAAATTGGTTTCTTGAGTAACAAAGAGGTTACATACGTAACGCCTGTCGCGCACATTTGTGTGGAATAAAGCGCAATGTTTTGTTGTCTCGTTGTTTAAATTCGAATATGAGTAGCAGTAATAAAAAACAGGAGCCAGAGGACCAGCTAATTTTTTGCCGAAATGCTAAGTGAATATAAAATTATTTTGAAAAGAGCCAGATTCCGGAGGTACGCTGTGGTCGAAACGAAACATCACAAAGTTTGAAAAAATAGTACCACGAAAAATTCCAAGTAGAAAAGAGCGATGGCCAATTAACATAGCAGATATGCAATATGAAAACGCGCCTGAAAGTAAATGCCGATAAAAATCGTTCCAACCATACATTTTCCTTTTCGAATCGGTAAAGATTCTAATAGTCTACATCACGAGAATTTCGCGAGTGAGAGTACGCTCAGGGGTGGAGCAAGTGCTCAGAGACTGAGAAATTGCTCACCCACTTTTTTCATACGAAATTGAGAAGGATCTCCGAAACTCGGATCAAGAGTAATTCATACAACCTATCATCTTGCGTATTGAAATAAAGAGATCTGGAACCAATCAGAATACGACGCTCCAGTCTGCAACGACTGTATAAGACAACCAGAGCTTGGCAGAGTTAGATCGGTTACTGCTGCTACAATGACAGGTTATCACGATTTAAGTGAGTTTGTAGGTGGTGTTATAGTCGGCGCAAGATAGATATCACATGGCATCTCCGAGGTCGCGATGAAATTTGGGTTTTCCGTACGACCATTTCACGAGTGTACCGTGAATATGGGGAAACCGGTAAAACATCAAACCTTCGACATCACTGCAAGAATGGGACCGATGACAACTGAGGAGAATCAGTGCACGTGACAGAAGTGCAACCTTTCAGGAAATTGCTGCAGATCTCAATAATGGGCCATCAACAAGCGTCAGCGTGCGCACCATTATCGACGAGACATCGATTTGGAGTCGAAGGCTCACTCGTGAACTCTTGATTACTGCGCGTCACAAAACTTTATGCCTCGCCTGGGCTCATCAACACCGATATTGGACTGTTGATGACTGGAAACACGTTGCCAGGTCTGACGCGTCTCGTTTCACATTGTTTCGAGCGGATGGACGTGAACGAGTCTGGCGACAACCTCATGAATCCATGGACCCTGAATGTCAATAGGGGCCTGTTCAAGCTAGTGGAGGCTCTGTGATGGTATGCAGCGTATACAGTTGGAGGGATATAAAACCGCTGATACGTCTAGATAAGACGCTCACAGGTGACACGTACGTAAGCATCTTGTCTGATTACCTTTACCCATTGATGTTCATTGTGCATCCCAACAGACTTGGGCAATTCCAGCAGGACAATGCCCACACGTCCAGAAATGTTACAGACTGTCTCCCGAATGTAGCCATGTTATGTCCACGAAATAAATGTCAAGTAGAAAAAACAAGAAGATTTATTCGACTCCTTTTTCTACAACAAAAGGAACCATCCACAAATAAAACATGTCATCGCAAGTGGGCTTCTGTCGCCCTCTCGATTCTTCTTTCTTGACGTTGCGCTTGTGCTGCTTTGGCGAGCTGCACGGACGCCTTGCCCGGTCTTCTCAAACACGAGTCTCGTCCTCCACGTCGGGCCGACGGGAAAACGAGCTGCCTGCTTGCCAGTGCCCTGAGTCGCTGCTCGAGATCGTATTCCGTGCCAGCCTTTCCATCGTTCCCCACGTTCGGACCGGGCCGCTTCCCATGTCGCGACGGCGGCGCGCTTCCGACGCCGCCACCGCTGCAGCCACGGCCGCACCGCCGCCCGCCGTGGAAGGGGGTGGGTTCTGCAGGGGTAGGTTTCGCCGACCCTCCGGCGACGACGAACAAAGGGACCGCAGCAGGTAAAACGCAGCGACCGGCGGCACAGAGGGGAGGCTACCGTTTAGCTGTGTTCTGCTAGCGGTGGCGCGTACGCCCTCCTCCGCTGCGCGTAGCGAGAGTTCTCTGCTGCTTGTTTGAGGCAGCGCCCGCCCGCTGCACGTGGGAATGTCTCCATTCAAACAATGCTACGCTACGAGCCGTGGCGCTCGGAAGCACGCCGTTGTCGCAACGTGGGAAGGGCCCCCAAGGGGCCTAATTATGTTTTCTGTCAACTTGACAGAGCGATGTTGCTACTTACGAGGGTGGCAGACACGTTGTCATGTGGTCGTTCTTACATCAGATCAAAACAGTAGTAGCAGTTGCAAGAAACAAACCGCAATAAGAGCACACAACAGTAGGCGTCACAGAACTGCACACACAATGCACAACTAAACAAAGTACTAGTTATAGCGCTCTTCAATTTTCAGTTGCTTCGCGCTGTAAGATTTCATTTTTTTTTTCTTAATAAGAATCGGTAACTCTGCTGTGACATCATGAGAATTTAAAGCCTCTGATTAGATAACGGAACCCCCTCTCCCTTGAAATTGCCCAATCAGTAGTCGCTTCTTTAAGAACTGTTCATTTATCATTCGAAGATCAGTAGGGGATCTAGTCAAGAAAAAGAGGTTTTCAGTTCTGGAGAAAACACTGGATTCGAAACAATTTGTGCTATGAGTGCAATGCAATGAGGGGACAATTCCACCACACTGGATATTGACCACATTCCAGAGGGCCTGTACAAATTCCTACTAGTGACTTGTTCAATGTACAATGCTCTTATAGTCAATACAAGGCCCTCTTACAAGATAATAGAAAAAGTTTCATTGCTGAAAATTTGAAACAGTGTTTCTTATTGTTATGGAAATTGTTGTAAATAATAGGATTAGGAAGAGTATAATGTTTAGTTTTGGTCTTTATATTATAAAACAGAATAATACACCCTCACATAAAAATATTTTAATAAAAAAGAATTGATTTAATGATACATATTTCTTACTTTTTCGTACATATTTCTGTATATTATAATACATATATATGTACATATTTTCCCAATTTTTTGTAGTTCATAATTATTCAGGTCCTACTCATAGACATCACTGGGGGACATGACCCCAAAATCAAAATTTTGGGGTATATTGGCAATATTTTAGGACTGTGCAGTAATTTGTACCTAATCTATTGAATCGTCCCACCTCTTCAATAATGTGGTGCTGGTGACACACGTGGCTTTGCTTTTATTCTATTTGACTAGCAATCAAAACTATTATACAAAGATGTGAATGTTAATTGTATTTACCTTCTTAAGTATTTATATATAGTTGTTAGTGCCTATCTACAGTTTTAATTTGTAATTGTCCTATATATGTTTTACTGGTCTAATGTTACTTTGAAGCCAGTATAAGGTTAAGATGAATAACATTTTAATACTTAGTAGATACCTAAAGAACATGATAAGATCCTAAAATTACAATCTTCTTAAATATGGCTCTTTTAACTTTCCAACACACAGGTAATAACTTAATCTTTATTTCTAAACACATAATACATTTGACTGGGAAAAACATTACATGCATTTCCCAAAAAACATAAACATCACAATATTTGCATAATAGACATTGTATACATCTTAATAAAACAAATAAAATAATGTAAACATGATACTGATTATTAAAAGGACAAATCATTCAGAAACAAAAAACTGTGCAATGAGGTTTCCACCCCCAAAAATAGGTATTATTAGGTGGATAATAAGTATTGGTATTGTCAGCTCTCCGCGTATTCGCAATGATGCCAAGTGCAAAAGACTTGGAAGAGTGAAGATATAAATGAGTCCACTCAAAGCACCAGTAAACCTAAGTACAGAAATGGATGATTTGTAATAAATAAATATACTCATTACACTGTATGGCCTGTATAATGAAAATTACATGTAACATTTACCTTATAATTGTTCCAATTCTGGGCAGGAGAACAGCAAACAACACACAAATAGCAACAACGAGCACATTGAATGCTAAAATATTGACAAATCCTGGTTCTGAATGTTTAAATAAAATTCCCATTACTTGAACGCGAAGCATGTAGGCAATTAGTGGAAATACAGTGACAAGTTGAAAGAAAAGAAACATTCTTGCAGCTACTGTCATTACATCCCAGTTCTGGAAATTATTCAATAGATTCTGAAAGAAAGCAAAAATATATATATGAAAAATGCTTAGATTCAAGTTTTCTACTTTATTAATTTATACTTGTTCTGTACTGTGTTGACCAGTCATACTGTGTTAGATTGCTATTACTTCACTTTAAGAATGTTATTTCTTCTTGACTAGGAGAATTACTTTGTAATTTTAATATTAAATTTTTTTAAAGTTGAACATTTGCATTTTCAATTACGATTTTCAAAAAATTCACAGACTTTCATTGATATTATTTCGGGATCTAATTTTGAAGAACATAGAACATTTTTAAAAAAATCTCCATCTTCAGCACTGTAGTTGTAGGAAGATGCCTGCATCATTTTTATAAGCATTCTTTAACTAATGTTTTGTAAATTCTTTACTGTGTTTGAGAAAATATTATAGAAAACCTTTGGAGGTGTTTTTGAACAAGATGAAGAAGAAGAAGAAGAAGAAGAAGAAGAAGAAGAAGAAGAAGAAGAAAAAGAGAAAAAGAAGAAGAAGAGTAGAAGAAGAAGAGAAGAAGAAGAAGAAGAGAAGAAGAAGAAGATAAAAAGAAGAAGAGAAGAAGAAGAAGAAGAAGAAGAAGAAGAAGAAGAAGAAGAAGAAGAAGAAGAAGAAGAGAAGAAGAAGAAGATAAAAAGAAGAAGAAGACAAAGAAAAAAACTGTAATTGATCTTAATTAATGATGTCTTTGAAGGGCAGATTTCATTAAGGAAAAAAACTATCTTCAATATTGTAACCATATACGTCGAAAAAGTTTGCAATTTCCGAAAATGCAAAGATGAATAAAAATAGGATCTGCGCTATTTTTTAAGCGTTCTTTGCTTTATCTGAGGGTGAAAAAAAAGTGGTCTATTTTTTATTACACTTTGAAAATATAGAGGTTTCATGTTAAGTATTCCCCAAAAAACAAAAAAATACGTTTTCAAACTCGCAAGCCTTTCTGTTCTACCAGATTGATCGGGGAATATGAATTTTGGAGAAAATAGTCTGAACGGTTTAGACACTAGCGTTGACCACAAACGGATGTTTTGGCGTAAACCAATTTTTCGGTATCAAGAATCCACAAAACATGGATTCTGACTTCACAATGTGTTAGAGGAAATAATTTGCTTCATATGAGAACAAGAGTTATCCACTTTTTCGATATCACGGCCTCACAATCTGAGCTTTTCTCACACCAAACCGCCGCAACATTACTTTATCATTTCTACGTAAGTACGTAATATGGCGAGAAAGTAAAAGAGCGGAGACTGAATGAGATGTGCTTTAATAGTGATGCCGAGTATTACAGGACTATGATCCAATTATCATTAACAAAAGGTAGTGTATACCTTTACTTAATCGCCTTAACTTATACTCAGAGGCGCTCTCAGGGTTTTTCTCGTCCTGCCGACTTGTTTTCTCATAAACAATATTGATTTTTTTTATTTCTTGACTTTTGGTTATTATTTAGAACGTTAACAATCGATAAATTGAATAAATTTCGTTAGTACAGAAAATTAATTAAAACTAAATTTTTGAATACGTATCATTGGCTTTTGGGAGGCTGAAACTCCATCCCCCTTGGGCGCCACTGCCCATACTCATATTTAAAATAAAATAACTCCTTGGCATCTCTGGTAAGTAAAATGGGGTGAGGGGGAGACATAAAAAGAAGTGTGAAATTCCTGTGAAAATTAGTTAAAGCTTCGGCAATATTTCCAAATAATTAAGTAAACGCGGTAGGCGTGGGAGGTTAAAAAACGTACAGTTATGAAGTCACAGCTCTTTTAGTGCAGTAGTGCTAGCAATCATTGTGCTTATTTGTCCTCTTCGTTAGATGTGAAAATGCAGGCTTGCGGGAAATTTCTACATTTACCTGACAGTTCAGAAACATCTTCATAATATCCCTTTCCCATGATTTTTTTACTAGTGATGGATGGCAAAAGATGTTTGTGTATTCCATATCGTTCCACGGTCTCAATGTTATTAAACGCATAATTATCATCGTTATAAGAAGTAATACCGCTATATTGTTTTCAGTAAAAAAAATTAGAACTAAACCACTAGATGTCTTTGAAATTATTAGGTTGATTGATTAATGATTCCAGCGAGTCAATTGCTAGGGTCATTAGTTACCTAAGTGTAGTGCATGTTTTTATCGCGGTAGATAGCGGTAATCGTCCCCACAGGATGGCAAGATCCGGCACCGACCTAGCCGTTAGCTTGCAGAGTTTTCAACTATGTATCTCCCATCAGCGCGGCACCGCCTCAGCCGCGACACGTCCGCGTCTAAGCTTCAGACTGGTCTCCCGACATATGTGTAAATGTAGTGCATATATGTGTACGTGTGTGTAAGTAAGGGGTGAGGATAGGAAGCGGAAGAGGAAGGAAAGATCGCGCGCGGTTCATGGCCCGATTGTTAGAGTACTGCTCCGGCATTCGCCTGGTGTTGATCGCAGAAACCACGGAAAAGTATCAATCACGGCAGCCGACAGAAAGAATTCTCCTCCAGACAGCGGCTGAATTCGACCTGGCTATGTAGCTACTAGCTAGTGTCGAAAATCCCGCCACTGCCAGGACTCAAACCCTAGAACCTCCCGGTCAGAGGCACTGCAGTGACAGCAATTGATGCCTTGAGCCATCTAAGCCGGTTGAAAATATCCCTCCCTCACCAGCGAGGCCAGTGAAAATAAATTTTTATTTTTTAATTTCTTTCCATACTTACATCACTTATGCATGATTTCTTGAGTGGAAAACTGATGTAAAAGACAGCACCGATGAATGTGTATGTTAAAGTAACTAAAATATAAGCAATGGAAAGATCTCGACCCTGAAATGGAATTAAAAAATGTTGAATTATATACATCTCTGAAAACAATAACATTCATTTTATTAAAGAGCTCTACAATAACAATAATGACAATGCTAATAATAATAATAATAATAATAATAATAATAATAATAATAATAATAATAATAATAGTAACAACTGTTAACATGACAATTTGACACTTCACTACGCGTGTCGAAGTTGAATGACGCGGCTCCAACCTTCAGGCTACACTATTAATGTAAAATATCCTTGGGCCACACTACAGATATTCTTCTCTAGTATGCTTTAAAATTTCCATTAACATTTAATTGTGTAATTTTTCATTTTAATATCTGCATATCCTGGAAATAGTTCTTAAAACTGTACATGAAAATCTAGTGAAGTTACAACAGCACGAACTCTCTCGCATAATTTATAGCTTTTGAAATTTCGAAAATTCAGGCAGATCATCGTAAATGAGACATGAGGCATTTTTCAAGCGTCCTATGATCTATTCAACGAAAAGAATTAAACACAAATTGGAGCCGTTCTTGAAAAAAAGCCTTAATTGCAACATTATTCCTTAAAATAAATTGCCTTTACTTCAAGCAAAAGTTACACGAAAACTGTTCTTTTTTTTCTTTCTTCAAAAACTGTCCATAATTTCATTTAAGTATCTAATTTTTTACAACATTTTATTAAGGGGAAAAATTCCAATCATCAATATTATAATTTTGCAATGGGTCGTCCATAAATAACGTAACGCTAAAGAGGGGGGATGGGATTTGAGGCATAGTTACGCTGCGTTACATAGGGGTAGGGCGGTGTTAGTTTAGTGATAAATAACATTTTATGATTTCCTCTGTTCAGTATTGCACTAAAATATTAAAATATTAACAAATTAAATTAAAAATATAAATAAATCAAAAAGTTATGAGGCATGAATTGTCACAATAAGTTGAAGTTTTTTAATCAGTTGTATTATTAATTGAATCTATTCGATTACAAAACAAAAGTTCAAAACTAATATATAGCATATTCTAGAACCAAATTTAAGTGACGCAGTAGACTCACGCCCATGCGTCATCCACGACAAAGGGTTGTTAGATATTTTCTCGCCTATAGGCCCTTTCGTCACCCAAAAATTGTCTCTAATCTCTTTGTTAATCGATGCAGTCAGCATTGCCAAGTAATTCTGACTAATTATAAACAATTTTAATATACAACACAAATAAAAATAATACAAATTATTTTTACTGTTGTATAATTCAAAATACTCCAAATTTGCGTTTGGTAATTCATGAACGGCCCCAATGTTAATTTTTTTTTGCAATTTTCGAAATTACAAAGAGTTTGCTGACAATGAGACCTGTGCCATTATTATAAATATACATTGGTCTATTCACAAAAAAATGTGAAACCATTAAAAAAAGTGTTTAAAAATTTCCTACATTTCACGCAATACGCGAAAACCATTTTCGAAAGCTGTACATGAACATATTTAAAGATGAATATTTGAAGAAAATATTTCATTAAAGAAAAAATCTTTGTCTTCAACACTGCTGTTGTAGTAAGATACCGGGAAAAGTTTGAACTTTTGATATTTTTGAATTTTGAAATTTGCTTTATCAAAGGATAACATTTAATGCAAAAATTTGGAGATATTTTTGATAAAAAAATTGAAAATGATAAGGTTTCATTTAAAATACAAAACCAAATTTCTTTTTCAAATTCGCAGGGCCTCAAATTAGGCCAGATCGATCGGGAATATCAATTTTGAAGGAAATCGTCTGAATGGTTAAGTGCTAGTGTTGACCACAGACGGGCAGGAGGACGAGCAAGCAAACAGACAGGCAGTCAGAGACAGACAGACTGGCAAAGATAGACAAACTGGCAGCCAGACGGACGGACGGACGGACGGACGGAGAGCCGGGCAGCCAGACGGACAGTCGGATGGATAGATGGGGGGGGGGGGACGGGCGAAAAGACTGACATTTCACCGTAAATAATTTTTTTTATAATAAGGGCCCCTTAATACGTGTTTTTCTGGCGAGAAATCACCCTTTCCGTTGCAGCAGTGCAATACTCTATTATTACGAAGTACGGAGACGACGAGAAAGTATCAAGTAAACACGCACTCACTTGCGCTAATATACACAATCAATATGTGAACTAACCTTTACATCCTTAAATATGTACTAAAACTGGCTGCTTTCTCGTCGTACTACGTACTTACATAGTAAAGAGAAAGTTTTAGAAGGCTGCAGCAGAAATTGGCGATTTGTCGTGAGACGAAATTGATACATATTGTTCCTATATGTAGTAAATTCCTTCCTCTAATACGTTATGCAGTCAAAATCCAACTTTTGTGAGTTCTCAATACCGAAAAATTTGTTTACGCCAATACATGTCTATCCGTGTTCAACACTAGCGCGTAAATCGTTCGGACGATTTTCTCCACAGGTGACGTTCCCCAATCGATCTGATCGAACTGCGAATTTGAAACATTTTGATTCTGAGGGTTCTTTACATAGAGCCTCAATATTTTCAAAATGTTCTCAAAAATGTCTCCAAATATTTTATTAAACTTTTTTCGAATGGAAGAAAGCACTAAACCTGTGCATGTCTCATTTTGGTTGAACTGTCTGAATATTCGAAAAAAAGATAGAGAAAAATAGCACTAGTTACAAATAATACGAGAAAGTATGTGCTGCTGTAGCTCTACTAGTTATATTCCGTGAGAATTATTATAAAATCAATAGTGCTTTTCTGAGATGAAAAAGAACGAGAGCGTAGGCTTCCGCGGCCGGAGTCAGTATTTACTAGGCTGTCGGGGTGACGCCGCGTCCATGGCGAAGGTGCCGACGTTTCGGTCGCCATTCTGCGACCTTCCTCATTACGCATTCATGCATTACGCCCTGAGGAAGGTCGCAGAATGGCGACCGAAACATCGGCACCTTCGCCATGGACGCGGCGTCACTCGGACAGCCTAGTAAATAATGAAAAAGAACATTAACTATGCATTATAGATGCATGTGCTTCAGGATGTCAGTAAATCATTTCCGAAATGGTTGCAGAACCTTCTTTCTAACATTTTATCGTAAGTCTGAAAAGTGGTATGTTGATCTCTGTTACTTCAAAACTACGTGGATTTGTATTGGTATAATAATCATCAGAGGTGACCAGAAGGGGGGGGGGGGGCAAATGGAGCAACTTACCCCATGCCCCAACTCAATTGCAGCTCCGAATTATTTCATTCAAAAGAAATAAAAAATGTATACAACTCTAATCCAAATATAACGTTGTAAATAATTTCTGATATATGGAGAAATGAATTCTGTTTGTGAATTGGGAAGGAGGAAATTTTTTTTGGCAGTGCATAAAATATAAACAAACACACACACACACACATTGATTTTTATATAATAGATAATTTTTTAAATAATTACTCTTACTTAATATTGAAACAAAAAAGAATATATGATCATTAACAATTTCAACAGCTGAATCTGAACTAGCAGGTTGGTAGATGAGTACTCAGTCATATGAACTGCACACAGAGCTAGGAGTTCATTTTGCCAAGGTGTTCTTTATCTCTCTAGTGACAGCACTGGTGCAAAACCAATGTATTTTAGGACTGTTCTCACAAATCACTTGAAACACTGGGTAAATCCTTTAGTTATTCCTCCATGGAACTTCAGCTCTGTTTCTAATTTTAAATGGGGAAGTTGTTAGTGGTTGATATGTGTTTACTTGTAAGGTGGAAACTGGTGGGAAGCTAAAGTATCTATTGTTCCAAAAAAATTACTATAGTATCAAAGAAAACATTCATTTAAACATTCATAAATGAAGGTTCCATTGCTTATTGATAATTTAAAACATGTTCACATTTGTAAAAATTATCATACAATTTTAAAAGAATGGTAAAAACAATTCAATTGTTCTTTTCAATTATTAATTCACTGTGTGCTATGTGTAAGATAATTTAAAGAAACACTGCAAGGAAATTGGTAGCAAATGTGCACTATGCTGGAGTCATGATGCAACAGCATTGTTGCTTGAGGGTTAATCATAATTTAAATTTGTAAATTATAGAGAATTGCTCATATTTTAGAAACAAAGACTGTCTGCTGTCTAAACCATTATATCACATTATATTGCATATTTTCATACTATCAGAAAAACTCAGGTAAGTGAAGCACAAGAAAAGACTCTCTTTTCTAATAATGATGTACACTTTTACCAAAAAAATGAAAACAAAAGTTTGTTCAGATATTTAGCATCTACTTATTGAATTCCAATTAATATTTTCTACATACTGGATTCCTTTCTTCTCCAAGAAAACTATTTATATTAAGAAAAGATTATCAAAATTTCGAATTGATTCATCTGTACTCAGTTTTAAATGAGAGGCCAGATTTTTAATGTGCTAGAACAATTTTTTTGTGTTTTGAGTAGTGTATGATTTTTTTTTTTTTAATTTTCAATTCAGGCAAGTTTTGCAAAAGTAACCTCTTGAATTTCTTAAGACCACAGATTTTGTAAATTGAAGTTTATTTAAGGGAATCATTGGTTAGAATCATTTAGGATTCACAAAATTCAGTCGTGGATCTAAGGGAGGAGGGGGCAGTGGGACCATGCCCCCCTAACCAGCCAACAATTTTTTTAAATTATACTCAATTTATTCAATATAAATACCATCTCCCATAATGAGATCTCATAAGCTCCAATACAATATTCCCTTTATTAACACAATCGTACATTTTTAATTTCAAGCTACCAATTTTTAAAAAAAATGTTTTCAAAATATTTAGGGTGTGTGTGAGATCCTCTCTGAAATAATTTCTGGATCAACCTCTGATAGAGAACCAATTGCATTTTTATTGACATTTCTAATTTAATATATTTTTCTTAAATATAAAAAAAAGAGTTTGCAAAAGAATTGAAATTTTGTTTTATTGAACTTTGCAACATTAATAATCAAACATAGAAGTGGGGAAATAAGATATAGGCAGGAACCAACAACCAGAGCTTTACATTTTCTGAGGGAAGAATAAGGGAACCAGACCTTGGACTGATTGGGCAAGGCCCTTTCAAAACGTTAAATGTTAACTATTGGGATCTGAATGTGCCAGGCTGAGATCGCAAGTATCCAGAAAAAGTGTGTGCCTACTAAGTACATTACATTATTTGTAACATAATAAATGGATAGTTTACTTACATTTTTTTCTTGATTCCTGTTATTTCTCATTATTGAAATAATGATATTGTGGATAAAAAATGAAAGAGCTAACATTCCAGATAAAGCGGGAAAACTTGGCAAAAAAGATGGGGCATATAAAGGACTCGAAACGTTTGTGAAGTCAACATTAATTCCCCAGCTAATTGCTTTGATCAGCACAAACAATACTAGGTATAGTACTGACAATGTTCCTGAAAAAAGAGAAAGATTAAATAGTAAAAAATTAAAATAAGATAGAAAAAAAATTAAGATAAGATAGTTTAAATGATAGTTAAGTTAAGATAGTTTAAATGATAGATTAAGTAAAGACAGAATATTCCGACTTTATTGAAGGAAAAAACTCTCAAATTGTGTTTGTTCAATAAAAACAAAAATTCAAATGTACCTGATGGTACTTACCTAATGAATTGAACTTGGTAAAAAATGTAGCTGACTTAAAATTTATAAGTGGGCCAATAATTAACACAAGAAATACTGGAACTGTTACATTTATATTCCAAACCTGGGAATATATTGATTCAGACTCTACAATATTTTCTGGAATAGTGTTATTTTTTTCACGAGGACACAATACTGAAAAAGAAAGGAAAAAAAGAAGAAAAAAGGATTGAAAGAAACACAAAATCATCATGAAATTGTGAAGACAAAACCCATGGAATATCACATTTTATCTCATTATAGAAGATGGGAATAGTTTGATCTTATTTCTCATGTAAGACAACTCAAAAATTATTGTTGTTAGCTACTGACATGAGAGCTATGAAAACAATTGCAATTGTTAATGTTCTCTTTTGCTCTTTCATTTCATTATAACTCCAAGAGAAACAAATCTATAACCAAATTTTACAGAATACATACATTTTTTTTGTGGAACATCAAGTCATATTGAGAATATTGATATTACAGCTGCATTGAAAACCTATGTATGTAAAAACTCCCTGAGGTTTATTTTGTAAGTCTGTTCTATAAATGAATGTAGCCATGATTTAAGCACACTGCCCTCATGTTTAATTGAAGAAATAACTAGGGACGTTTTTAAATAATTTGAAAGTAGTGAATATTTTGTTAATTCAGTACCAACAATGGACATGAATATGTCCTATTATTACATGGGTTGAAGATATTTAAATGATAAACATCAGAGGTGTTAAATTCATCTACATAGGACCACCTACCTAATGTACTCAATGTGTCATTCATTATCAATGGTTCAATTGGAATTCCTGCAGCTCTTTCTGAAAAATAGACAATGTCATTAAACAGATGTCGATAAAAATAAAATAAATTTTTTGTACACAATATTAATTACTTACCATAAATATAATCCACTGAATGATACAAAAAATTTGTCATAAGAATCCAATACACAATATTGGCTCCAAGTAAAACAATAAGAGAAAAGAACTTTGCTATAATTTCTGCAGGTCGGCCAAGCAACAGTTTACATAAATCTGCCACCTCACCATCAACAATTCCTGCACCTGAAATAAATAGAGAATCATTCAGAAAAACTTTTCAATTTGTTTTCAAAATACACAGCTGTCACATCATTAAAAAAATCAAAAACAAACTATTAGTATATGGAAAATTATGTGTAGAAATAAACACAAGCAAAAATACACAATTTTCTTGAGAAAACCTATTTATTGTTTAAGCTATTTCATAAAAAAGAGAAAAACAAAGAGGAGAGAAAAAACACCCAAAAAACACACTTCCTTTAAGATACTTTCTGTATGAAATATTTGAATTAATATAGGAATAGTTCATCTTTAAATCAATCATTTTTTAAATTTTTCATTATTGTATGCATTAAAATTACAGTAGTCTTTCAAAATTATGATCCAATTCCAGTGTTTGTTTACAGACACAATGAAAGGGCTAGATGTGTTGGCAAGTTTCATGGGAAGTCGTTTGAGTTTATTATTAGAGAGAATTTACTACTATAGTACAAAGCCATTTCATTCTTTTATTTACATCATCAAATATCAAAAAAATAACATATATATTCAATGTTCTGTCTTATATCGTAGGTTTTAAACCAGACCTGAGGCGTTCATGTTAATACTGTCAGTAATACGAGACAAAAAAGTCATAATATTCTAATTACTATTGAATAATTTGCTTTATAATTAGTAAATATTTTATGATCATACCTAATTGTTAGAGTTCAGCAGTATTTAAGGGGAGTATTTAGTGCCTATTTTGGTAATGTTAACTACAAATTCCCAGTGCCAGTTTTGTCTGGTAATGTTTCGATATGGTAGACGTTTTTTTTTTCTTTTTTTCTTTTTTTTCCCTTCATTAACGTTTTATTTTTTTACATGTATTTTTTTTAACTAAAAATATTACTTTTTTATTTTATTGAAAGATTATTCTACATAAAAGCAAATATAATATCAAAAGCAGATTGAGTTATGTACGACACAATTTTTTACAAGTGTTATCTTCAATAGTTTTGGGGATAAATGCCCCAATGTCCACTGAAAATAAATTTGTGGCAAATGGCCTTTGAAGTACAGAATGACACCCACCAACCACTACAATAGACTATATGCCGCCTTAATTGTAATCTGGGACCTCCTCTTCCCTTTTCTTCTTGATGTTTCTCTTCGTCAGTCTTGCCTGTTTGCTATGATCTTCCACTGCTTTATCAGTTTTTTTACTTGAAATCTAACTTTTTTAACTCAACAACTTTGTCTGTAATTTGTTGATTTTGAATTTGTCTCAAAATTGCAAATGTATACGTGAGAAAAGGCATTGAAAAGTGATACAGCCAAATGGTGACTACAGCTATATTCAGTACATTTTCAAGATACCAAAATTGAAAATTTTTTAAAAAATTTTTCATTAAAATTTCACTACATACTTCTCTTAAATACTTGTATTTGAAATACATTTTGTATTTGAAAAAAGTATTTGTGTTTTCTGGATATGTATTTTGGAGATGTCTTTAAATACATAAAATAAATACTTAAAATACTTTAAATACCAAGAAGAAGATAACAAGGATAGTTTCTTTTTGTTTGATTCCGCTGGTAAATGTATCCTATTGAAACAATAAAAGCTCCTTTTAGATGTTGAAATTGAATTCTCTTCATTTTTAAATGATAAATCTAAATCATTAAAAATGCTGGACAATTATCCTTATTATAACGAATAGTAGCTTATTTGTTATAAGTAGGGAAAGAATTTTGAGGTGCAAATAATGGTTGTAAAAGGAGGAAAAATGGTTCTGAAAATACATTCAAAAGGTGCAAAAAAGGTGCTGCTGAAACAACTGTACTAAGGTTTAAATCAGTTTCATGAACTCAGTTTCTAAAATATACTCTATAATTTTGCACCAAATTTTTCTTCTTTATCCATAAGAGGTGATTCATAGTACTTCATCCAACACAGTAGTAGATAAAAGACAGTTAAACAATTGCCAGTACTGACTGAACTTATTTTTCCCGTGGATTGCATTGTAGAACGTATTTCACAGGCGCTCTCATGAACACTTGTCCACGTGAACCTCGGTGCTCTTGCGGTGACAGACAACTTCCCCTGACTACCCTTTCCTTTCCCCCTCCAAATCCACAAGCGCTGCCAGTGCTCTTTTAGTATATATTGACGGCAACATGATGGCAAGAGAAAACATTTTTCTCCGGTCACAGACACGTGAATTGCTCCACACCCATTTAAATGTCCTGATTTGCCTGTCTGGGCAGTGCTTTAAATCCAGTGGGAAAGGGTTAAACTGTTACAGCAACACTGACGAAATTTAAATTTGACTGTACAGCTGCAGATTGACCATTGTTGCTGGGATATAAATTATTGGTGGTTTATGTAAAAGATATTTTAACATTTATTTGATATTGACTTCTGATTAAATGAGATTTTAAAAGCTGTTCAATACACTTTTCTGCCGAATTGTTTACAAACACAGAAAAGAATGGAGAAAAAGTTATTGAAGCATTAAAAACAAGGAAAAGGTGGCAAAATATAGTAATCTCATGAAAAGGTGCCAAAATGTGAAGCAAATTGTGTTTATTTTGCTTCATTTCATTTCCCCAAATACATACATTAAACTGTCAGTATGAAAACATATATTTTGAAAAGGTGCCACACATTCAAATCCTTTCCTTAGTTATAACATTAGTTTAAGTTCATCCATGCCAGTTGAATGACTGTTTTCCTTTGCAAGTTTTATACATCGGCCATCTAGGCGTTTATTGTCTGGTGATTTGTTTGAAAAATTAGTCGCTTTAAAAGAAAATTTCGTTAACTTGTGTTATACATATTTTTTATATCATTTTATATTTGAAAGTGTTTATACGTATTGCTACAATACACTACTACAATCTGAACAATATATTAATTATTGTTCAGGAATTTATATGGCTCAATTACTAATTTATTTTAATTGAAAATTACGACACATTGTTGCAATAAAAATGATATAATACAAAATTATTATATTTACTGTATTTTGAGTATTTAAATCCGTATGCATTTAGCAATTGAAAACCTAATGTATTTTGAGTATGTATTGAAATACTTATTTACAAAATATTTTGGTGAAGTATTTAAATACTGAATTTAAAGGTTTTTGCCCCACCTTTCTCATTGTGATAATGTATAGAGGGCCTTCTTGAATGATCATTATAAGTATAATACATGGATAGTGTTCAAATGTTGTTTCTTGTTTAGGTATTTTCTTTTCCTTACTCCTTAATATTGTTCTTATTTAGTCAAAGAAAAAATTGAAGACTCTTAAAAGCATTGAGTTCTGATGCATATTATTTATTTTTTGAAACATTATTACTCATTCCATACTCATCCACAAGAGGTGTCAGAATTCACAAGATACATGAAACACAGATTTCATAACATCTCCAGTTTTGCAAAGAGGAAAACAGCTACGAGGAGATTCATGGCTTCAAATTTGCCTTTTAATTCTATTAAAGTTGAAGGAATTAAGCTTAAAATAAAATTAAAATACCATATATTGAGATGAAGCTCATATTGAGATGAACTTCATCTCAATTAATTCAAGAAGATTTTAACTAAATAGCCAATCACTACATCATTTAATAGTGCATCATACAGGTTATTTAATAGTGCCCACTACATAATTACATGTACAAAACTTGCATTTTATTAGAATAATTTTTTAAAAGGATATGTTTTTAGGAAAGAGAAATTATTTTAAACTTTAAGAAACGAAATACAGTAAAACTTGCTCAATGCATAATTTCAAGGGACCAGTATTTTTTTCCTGTTTTAGACCAGAGTCTGTGTTATGCAATGTAACACTGTAGAATTTAGTAGGTTTGTAAGGACCGTGGTTTATGATCATATTAGACAGATTTCTGCATTATACACATTCCACATTGCGTAAGTTTTACTGTATTAAACTTCAGTCAAGTTTTTATGAACCATCTATAAATATATCTTTCATCAACAACTTAATTTTAAATATTATTTTTAACAATTTAATAATTCCATACTTACCATGAATTTTATTAATTTCCAGAAGACGATATGTAGTGTACAAACAAATACCTCCCATTAATGCCATGAGAATTATTCCGGTGACAAAACCAGCTCGTTCTATACCCCAAGGCATAGTTAATAGAGAAGATCCCATAACAGTATTCCAGACTGCAAAACTAAGTAAAATAATACATAATTACATTAGCACAGTGAAGTTATTTCAGTAAAGAAAGCATATAAAAGGCAAACATTTTAAACATTGTGACTCCTCTATTGAAAGTAATTTTTATCACTTTTATTTCCAATGTCTTATTTTGAAATGCTGGGAACACTTGTGTAAAAATTCAAACATAAAAAAAATACCTACCATGAATAAAATCACAGGTAGAAGAAGGTTATAATTAACAACAAACCGAAAAAAGGTAGCAAGATTTAATAATGACAGTAAAATCTTTGTTAATTTTTAATATAAAAGAAATAGAAAAGGTATGTTTAGCTTGATGTTAGCTACAGTCCAGTTACTATATTTACTTCCAGATTAATTAAGCAAAATTCTAAACTAAACGTTAGGGTTATAATACTTTATTTCCTTTTAACAAATACGACACAGGTTTTTTTTATGCAGGTTTATATGTCAAAATTAAGCTACAAGATCCAATATTCCAGAACCTTATGAACTGATCTTTAGCATTCATTGAAGTTCCACAGCATAACACTAAAATTATCATGACAATGATAGAGAATGTTAATGAGAAGTCAATGAAGTCAAGTGAAAATACTGATTCAAAATTTATTAAGTGAATTACAACTTACATGGTCACCAAGCTACTCTGTTTCTGTGTATTACGTTCTTGGCCAGGGATGAAGGGAATGAATACAGGTAATGGAATGACATGGTCAGGAATCATCTGAAACAGTAAATCAAGAAGTAATAGTAGGAATCCATTGTATGCTTTAATTCCTCACTTCACAATGCACAGGCATATTGTAATAGAATTACATACATGTGATATATACTAATTATCCTTAAGGAATAATTTTAAAAGACTTGTTAATCCTGTTACTACGAAATCATATTTCATATTGTATTTCATGCTGTTGAATAATAATACCAATTTTAAATGAATAATACACTAATATTCAATATCAGATATAACATGGATCATATGAAAAAACAGTTTATATTCAGTAGATAATTTCTTAAGACTCAATTTGCTTTGTTTACAATAATGTAATTATATCTGATACACAGAGAGAGAAAAAATTATTTCACTACATGTATCAATTGTTCATAACATATCACAGTAGGATCTATTGTAATTATCCTGTACATTATATTTATTATGCTCCTTTTACTCATTGTAAATATACAGGTTTATCTGTTGGATTTACATTAAATTGAACCACCTATCTCCAACTCTAGTTATAAAAAACAAAAATTCTTGATCATCAGGTCTTAGAAGTTTGTTAATACAATTGTTTGTGAATGTTTTCACCTCTTTAGTTTTACTATTTTGAGAATGATATTTGCATTGAATTAAAGTCTCCTAACATTTTCCTTTTTTTTAATGTTTTATCTGTTTTATGGGATATAATTTGACAATTTGTGTTGGGTTGTTTTTTATTTTGTCTTTTATGCGCATTTAATAAGGAATGGTAGACTGCACCCATAATATTGTGATATTATAACAGCAATTGGTATTTAACATGTTTAATATATAGCAACATGAACTGACAATTGTGTTAGTTATGCCCTCAGGACATGAAGAACAAGATTTTTTTATTACCTATTGGATTTCTCATAAAAAACTGAAAACATGATCATGGGTATATTGAACATTATATTGTTTAGAAATAGTGATCATTCCAATTCGAATTTATTATAATTCCTTCAACACATGAAACCATGTATTTATTCTGTGTTCATAGGGCTTCTGCAGTGTAGATCTTTTACATTTTTATGAACTGAAATTCTTAAATCAGTAACTGATATCTCTCAGACATTCATTGTCATCTACATTCCTACATACTTTATTCTCAAGGAAGAATTGACATGTACTGAGCGATAGAGCGATGGACGTACTTCTCCCCAATGAATAAAATTCAGTTAAACATCAAGTCATATACAAAAAATTATTTTTAAATCATATTTGTATATTTTTTGTTTAGTTTCAAAGTCGCGTATGCCACGGCCACATTGAATACTGCATGAGGCAATCGTCTGGCTGTCAATTTCCGTACAGCCGTGGTTATTGTTGGGTATTGTGCATTGAAGAAAGTACCGCGACGTCCAGGAGCGTTAAGATGAACTTCGAAGACAAAATAAATATTCCAGGATTCACTTCAATAATTTAAATAACTGTACAATAAATATTTATAAAAACGAAGAATAAGTAGTATATAAAAATGTTAACATTTATAAATATCCACCCCTTATTTCTTACATTGCCACTACTGATTTGTTTACTTTTTGCTGTTACGTTAATCTACATAATCATCTCTATATTTTTTTTTTTCTTTTTCGAAAGAGCCCAGTTTCCCTGACCCTTTGAACAAATGCTGACTGTTCCCAACCCACCAGAAAACAACCCGACATAAGAAATATGGACGAAGAGTCTCATTAGAGACAGGCGGACCACAAAAATCCACCCTACATTCTCTTCTGTTCCCTTATTTTGCTTCTGGGTACGAATGTAACTTTGCTATCTGTGCACGCTTCGTGAGTTCAGTGGGGAATATAACTATTTGAATAATCCTTCTCTTTGTTTTCGCTGCAGTAAGACAATTCCTTCACGAAGGGTACAATCATTATAAATAGTAACAAAAATATTGGACTGATTTGCCTTTTCAAATAGTTTTTATTACACGTGATCGAATTTTTATAAATTCTTGCCAAAAACGCTCGTTGATTCCTGTGTTTATAATTCAACATAGTGTGTAGGAGTTAGAGTACCTATGTATAGTATGTAGGGATCGCAAAACTAGAAAAAATGCACATATTGTAATTCTCTGCATAGTACGCTTCACAGTTTTTAACCGTGTAACCTACAATCCGAACTACAAGGAGAAGATGCTTAATTTGTAGCAAGTTCCAGCCAACGGGCTCGAAAATTCAAATGTACTTATGGTTATGATCATAACAACAATATATATTCCATTACTTGGGAATGTCCGTACATAATACAGATGGGTAAATAATTTTGATTTTTTAGAAGAATTTTTTAAAGGTGCATGTTACAATTTGAAAAATACTGAAACCAAATTTGCAGTTCTGTGAAGGATCATTGATTGGCAGCGGAAAGTGCAATAATTATAATATATTCCATTATCATTCTAAATAAGTGAGAAATAATGGCAAATGAGTTAAGGGCAATATTAATATCTAGTGAAATACAGAGGCAGCGGCGAGTGTGTGGTGGCGACAGACACGAAATCCATTCCGTTATTATAGAGAACAGCATCTTTAACTTTAACACATTTACTATTAGCATTAATGATAATTACACAAACTGACAATTAATGTCCCAATCGTGACGTTCCATCGTTTAAAATATTACAAAATTGACAAATTGAACGTACAAATTAAGAAGATAATTCAGACACTTAAGGGACATCACATTTAGGAACGTTGATAACATTTCACGAGAAACAAGAAATTTATTATTAAAAAATGAGCAAATGACAATGACAAAACGTTAATGTGAAAAATGTTAACGTGCTTTGAAGCATTTAATGACAATATTAATTGACAACGTTTCACACAATTTTAGCTTCTCAAAATAGAACGTTTTGGGCCCGGGCCCGCATTTAATTCCCGGACTGACAATTATTATTGCTGATATTGTGATGGAAAAGGAAATTTAAAATGATGAGGCATATCTTTAAAATTATATTGAAAAATTACATTTACCGTATGCTGCAAATTGAAAGACCCACTGGGCATGATGTCTGCGATTAACGAGCACTGCGTTGCTACTCCGCGAGTTGCTCTTCACGCCAACTTATCATGAACTCGACTGGTGACTGGAGGAGTGGGGATTCTTTCATTTTATGGGGCTGCGCTAGCGGCCATTTTTACATGAAAACTGTTTTGTTTCTTCATTAATCATCCATACGGAGGAAACTCTTTCAGATTGATGTAAAACGATTACATTTTTTGACGATTTATAATACAGAATTTGTGATTTCCCTGACAAAGCTTTTGAACACAATTTCAAGCATCTGCTTATGTTTTTGGTTGATATCTACCTTCCTGCCTCGAGAAAACAATGTCGTTGTTTTTCTGCCCACGTAACGTAATAAACAATATTGCATATTGATAATATATTTACGGACTGTAAATGGTATCTTGATTTTTTTTGGGGGGGGAGGGTGCTTTTGTGTTTAGTCATGCTTAGGGCCCGTTTAGGTATCAATCGGGCTCCGCAAATATCTAAGCATCCCAATTGCTTCTTTAGAAAACGGTTATTAGAACTGTTCAGACATAATTCATTTATCAGTATCAAAAGTGCTACATTAATGCCAATTGGATGGGTGATAGTGAAATGATCATTTATGTCATTTCAAGAAATAAAATTAAAAAAATATTTTCTTAAAATACGAAATACTTGTACCAAATAAGCAATTTGCCTTGTAACAGCAATTGTCTTTGTAAAATTAGCAGATTATTATAACTCACCAACGTGGAATCTTCATATGGAGCATATGATCGAAGTTTATTGTAATAGTGAAAACGATTGTATGTGGCGTCAGCAAGCTGATCTTGATGGTTCTGATAACTGAAAGGACGCCTGAAAATTCAGAATATATTAAAGCAACCAAACCATAAAACAGAAGCAAATCAACAGACCTAGAAAACCGAGGGAGCTAAGGTGGCTATACCCTAGCGCCTTGGTTCTCAGATATCATGCCAGTTTTGGTATGCGTGCGTACGCATCTGCGAATTCTGGGACATGTACTCGCTGTTTAAACAAATATAAATGTAGAAATGTATTTTCCCTTTCGCATTGCATCTGTTAATTCACAAATGTGATTTGGAGGCGTGCTTTAGAGTTTCTATGAAGACTACAGCTGGCCTGATAACGAGAACAACAAAAACATTCATGATGAATCACAGTGATGGACTTCTATGGAGTATGCCCCACGACACGTTCGTCCGCGAATGAAGCAATACTTGTATGAACTCAATTTGTAAGAGAATTGAGCATATCGCGCACAAAGGATATCAAAAGTTGAAACATAGGAAACAATGTACCATTGTGGGATTGTCAAGTATTTCCTCGTATAAGATTCACCGGCTGATATGTCTCGTGACAACAGTTGTTGTCACTGTAACGTTTCTGAGTGGGAGGTCCTAGGGTTCGAGTCCCGGTGGTAGCGGATTTTCGACACTATCTAGATACCACGATCGAATTCAGTCGCTGTCTGGAGGAGAAATATGGTGGCCAGTATTGATTATTTTAAACGTTCATTTTGCTCTAAATTATTATTTTTTTGATATATTCTACTTCGTGAATTGAAAAATTAAAAATGTGAAATCAATTGCAATTCTGGCTTGCTTTGATCAGTAGTTTTCCGTGGCTTCTTTGATCAATAAAAGGTTAATTGCAGATCAGTACTCTAACAAACGGCCGGTATTTCTTTTTTCCATGATTTCCCTCTCCTCTCTCCTGCACACACACGCACTTAGACTTACATGCACTACATTACAACTCATTATCGGCAGACCAGTCTGGAACTGAGAGCTTATCCCATGCGGGGAGTGCCCCGCTGGCGGAGATACCTGGGGAAAGAAACCCACGCAAGCGCTCGTGTAGGTCGGTGCCAGATTTCGCGTTCTATCGGGGGAGGAACACCGGCACACCATATAACATGCTCTACACCTATGGGATTAAAGACCCTGGCAGTTGACCTAGTATCCGGAAACACGAAATAATCAACCAATCTATCTCGTATAAATGCCTGTATCTCAGAAGACATATCCCTAACAAAAGAGTACATTCAATCAGTAAAACTGTTCGAAGCAAGGATTACTGGCTCTGTAGCCAGTGTGATCGACAAATTCTTGTGAATATCGAGTCGCCTTTCTCGAGTGCGTTCTCGATGCGAGAATTTTCCGTGCGCTTCAGTGACGTGTAGGGTTTCCAGCATACAAGCACAAGGTAGAATATGCGGCATTTGACCAATTTTTAATACTCTCCCTTCCTTTTTAAGGTTTTTCTCTCTCGGTCTATGTTTGGGATCTATCCTTTTTGGGGAGAATGTGTGCCCTTCCCTCTCGCTTCGGAGACCCCGGAGCTGGCCCTCCGTCCGTCGTTTTTAAAAATTATTATAAACATCGGAGTTACAAAGTTTACTTCACACACTAACATTTGCATTGTTGGCTTAATATAAACTTAATGCTAATAACTTAATTTTAAAAATCACATTTTTTGGAAGGAATCCTTTAATGGGAGACCTCAGGGGAGATAATTTCCGATAACTTTCTAAGGAAGGTATAGAAGGTAAGCTTATTTTTATTACGAGTATCATAAGTGGGATTTCTGCCTACCCGGAGGACACGTATTCTGGTGATTTGAGGTAAACTATGGTAAAACTGTATAGATAGATACGTGATGTGGTTGTCTATAGTTTCGAGTTGGAATTCATTGTGCAGCTTTTTGTTGGAAATAAACCATTGTGCATTGTAAATGTATGGAGAAACTGACTTTGCACGATCTTTAGTTTTTTTGGGTTCGATCTTGCGGCTTTTATCCAAACTGAACATGCATATAATAAGAGTGGTCTAATTATGGTTTTAATATAGTTAGGCTGTGTTACATGGAAGTCTGATTGGCCTGTTTATTATTATACTTGGTAGATTTTTGCTTTAGCATGGAATATTTTATTGTTTTTATTCTGTTTCCAGTTTAATTGTGTGGATCGTGCTTAATCCGGATTTGATCTTGTTCTTTAAAGCACAGACAGAATCCATACAATGGCGGATGTGTTCCTTACTCCAACAAACCTTTACAACGAACCTTCGCAAAGTTATTTTAAAGTTCCTATGTTTAAAATATTATTAAAAGAGCCGTCTTCTTGGTTTTAATGTGGAGGTCCGAAACATTCAAGCAACTCCTTTTAGGTCTGGCAACTCCAGATTGGAAAACACTGCTCTAAAGGAATGCATTCCGTGGTTGATGTTAAGTGACGAACTGAATAGTATATACACGTCACCTCGCACCATTATTCAAGGGTTTGTAACAAATCCAGTGATCAATTGCACATACGAGTGAACCATCCCCAAACTCACTCCACAAAACAAAAATGAGAACGAAACAAGAACATCAGCTGGAATCTTTATTACTGTTAAATGTTGAGCCAGAAATTGTTTCTTTTATTGATCCAAATTAAGTTACAGGCCAATTAGAGGGAATAGTTCCCTTTTAGAGATTCATGTAAAAGAAATAGTTGCATTTAATCTTTAAATTTCATTAGTTCTAGAAGAGGTGTGAAATGGCTTGAGTATTTTGTTTCAATTTTCATGCTTCTCAGATGTTATTAGTAATTAGAAGTTAAAATAAATTAAAATTATTCTGTTTTTAAATCTAGAAACATACTGTAAAATGTCATATTGAGTGGTTCTTTGAGCTTTAATAACTGGTGTGTATCCCCATAAGGAAAGTTCTGAGTAGTCCTGGGGTTACTTAATTTGACCGAGGAAAAATGCCGGCAAAACTGGCAATGACAGTGTTCTTGTGGTGAAACTATCACTATTACTATGTACTATTTCGACTAGAATGGAAAACCTGATTCCGATAAAAGAATTCTACAATTCTTCTTCTTTATCCTATGATTCGGTCGAAACGCTCGCATATGTGTTTTCGGGTGCTTTGTATAACGTACGCATCAGAACTTGTGCTTATTTTCCTGAATATTTATTTAAAGAAAAATGAAACTCACTTTCGTCTGAGGAACATTTGGATCCATTTTCATTATAACAGGCATGTAAAAACTCACGTTTCACTACTGTGTCTCCTTTCAGAGGTACAGGGAAAATATAATGAAAGGTTTCCTCTTGTAGAGGTCGACTCACATCACCCGTCACCCTTTAACCTAATTTTGCTCCTAACCTTCATTTTGAACCCATTTCACGAGCTTACTTTTCTTTACCACAAATTTATAATATTATTACTAAATAACATATCTTAAAACACATTCTTCATATTAACGGAAAATAACGATGTTAATGTTATTAAATGTTATATTATGTTATTAATGTTATTAATGTTATATTATGAAAATAATACCCAATTTTAAGAGTAATTTTACTATTCCCTTCTAGACAATTTTTTATCATCCACGAATAACACCATAGCCGAGTGATAAAAACATAACGAAATCTCTTTTGTAAAGATTTTAATGAACGCGTAAGCAAGCTCCTTACAAATTAACTTATAATGGAGAGCATTAATTTGACTGATGTTGGCGTAATCTGGATTTGTTCTTTTGATTCTGACATAACACATTCCATGTACAATTTATGAGAAGTATTAGTACAATATATGAGAAGGTATAATGTTGTGAATTAGGAAGATCTTCTCGATCATGTTCTTAGATATAATTTGAGGTTCAGGTACTTAAAGATCCATCAAAAACAGACTTATCGTCTAGTTTCTCTTGATCCATTGAGCAACTGTTGAGATTAATTCTCGTTTATTTCTGGACATAATTGTAGCTTCACCATGCGTACGCTTTTTGTTTTCGAGATCTTTCTCTAGTTGTGGTAGGGGTTGAGCCAGGGATGTGAGTAGCTATTTTGTTAGCAATACTATAAAATTAAATCTGCAGGTCGGTAACCGATGCCAGGTGATTTTCTATTACTAGGGAGCGAAATTTTCTAATTTTAAAATGCTGGTAACTTTACTGTTTTGGTACGTTTATTCATCATTAGGCATGCAACGATGTTATTTGTTACCACAAATTTATAATATTATTATATAACATGTGTAAAAAGATGAGAAGAGATTCTGGAGCTCAAGAAAACGTGTGTTGATTATACTTCTCCCCCATACGTCACATCAGTTTGAAATGTTTTTTGACCAAAATGAATCAAATTAGATCATATCAAAGCAGCTTTTTTAATACGTGCCTTTGAAGTGTTCATTTATTTTATGCTATACATCCTGTTCTCTGCATTCCTGCCAGGTATACACTTTTTTATATCCCACCCACTGCAATTAATTCTTGCATCCCAACCCTAACTTTTCATCCCTTGAAATCTCGTTTCCAACACGCATTCTTCGAATTATAATGTATGCATTCCATCCGCTGTATTCTATATTAATTATTATATGGATTCTGTTACATACGTTAAAAAAATTGATTGGTTATTTTCTGTTTAGGAGAGCGTCAACTGCTATGGCCATTAGTCCTTCCTGTTTTATCTCTAGAAATGGTAGTGTAGAACGTGAGATACGGAACTGACCTGCACGTCGGCTTGCGGAGGGGGTCCTCCTCTAAGTATCTCCTCTAACGAGGCACCGTTCCAGACGGGACAAGCTCTAGTCTCACAACTGGTGTCTCAGCATGTGTGGTAGTGTAATGCATGTAAGTTTAAATGTGTGAATGCGTGTGGGTGTGGAATAGAAAAGGAGGGGCAAAGGTGGGAAAAGAAAGATCGCGCGCGGTTAGCTGCTCGTTTGTTTTGACAAGACGATGGTTGCGTTATACTGATTCCAAATTTCCCTGGTATTAACTGAAAAAGCCACGGAAAAATGCTGATTAGATCAATTTGCTTGCAATTGATTTCACATCTTTAATTATTCAAACGAATCCGTATGTAGAATCTAGTTATGTAGCTAGTGTCGAAAATCCACCACTGACGGAAGTCGAACCCTAGGACCTCACAGCCAGAGACTGTAGTGTTAACAGTCGTTGCGCAGAGCTACCCCAGCCGGTCACAGGTATTGCCAACTCTCAGTTCCATCCACTGCGATTCATTTGAGCGTGGGAGTGAGTGCGTACCGCGCCGACGCCAGCTGCCGGGGGTTGGCAGCGCGGGCCGCGGGGGTGGGCGTTGGCTCCCGGGGCGCCTGCGTCGACGGGGCTGTCGCCTCGAAGTCGCTGGTTTCGGAATCCGGGAACATACACGTCGCCCTGAAAGACCAAAGACATTTTCAAGTGCATTGAAATCGTACGGGTCGTCAGAATACACGCGATGAATGCATGCAATAAAGCAGAAATCTCCATAGATGAAACATGCCCTATAGCTGTAGAAGGTGTAATCTTAAAAAAAAACGTCAAGTCAGCTGGACACTATACTTGTAAACTTGTACTTCTGGAAAGAAAAAAAAGCAAGAAAACAACAACAAACAAACAGACGGGTCTCTCGTTATGGAATGGTGTTTTTAAATATATTTTAGAATGGAAAGAACAGTTGTAACACACACACACACACACACACAAACACACACACACACACACACATATATTATATATATATATATATATATATATATATATATATATATATATATATACGAATTTTATTGTAGTATTTGTGAAGATGGATTTTGTTAAAAATATTTAATTTATTGCAGTGTGTTGTTTTTGGAAAACCATTTTTTGGGAGTTTGTTCAGCAGCATTTTTTTTCTGCTGCAGGCCTCTCGTTGAATTCAATAACGACATTCTTGTAATTTGTAGTGTTCTGATTTGAAATGCAACTAAAACCGATGCAGTTTACGTTGCTTTCTTCGCAAGTGCTGTAGATTAGAAAACGCAAGAGTAGTCACCAGGAGAGATTTCAGTGAAACACTTGACCAAACATTAACACTCTTGTAGCAGAGATTTACAAGCGTTTTCCAATAATTAAAGTATCCCAATATTGAAATACGGTCGCGCATAATCGCCTTCATTTTGTTTGTTGAACAAAAATACTCCACTTTCATTCGTGCCCCGAAGCCTGCGAGAGGATGCTGCAGTTAATGTCTGTATCAAGCATTTGGTATGGCTATCATGTAAACACAATGACGTTTATATCTGAGCCATGTATTTGGTAGTGATCACGCCAGGCAGAGTCGATTGCATAACGCGACCACCACTACACACGTACATTCCGCGGGAATATGGTCGATTACTGCTACACATCACTGGAACATTCATTTGCCTCCGATAGCCATCCTAATAGTCCGAGCGATAGCGTAACAAAAATGTTAGTCAATCTTACACATTTCATAATTCATACACTGAATCTATGGACTATCCAAAAATAATTCCTTCAGTCAGTTTGACAGCTGACACATCCGACAGGAACCTCTAACTCTTGCTGAGTAGATTTTTAAAAATAATCGTTACATATAAAATTTTGTGTGCGTATTGTATAAATGTATACTGTGATTCAAAATAACTTGACACCTGCGTGGTACTCCAACGACAAATTAAAGTTTATGATATGCCAAAAAAGGGTTTGTTTCTCAACCGAGGACACATTGCAACTCGACCTGGAGACTAAACATTATAACAGATTCATGGCAGACCAACTAATTACAAAATCATGTAATGAAGTAAAAGAAAAATACTAGCCTGACACTGATCCAACGGCACAGGAATGGTCAGATGATGCACGTAAAATGCACATTTAAATAAAATTGACATACTCCTTCGGGAGGGGTTTTATTAATATTTCGTACTACTAGCATAGAGTGACAATGATCTTGAGAATTTGCTGAATTTGAACTTTAATCATACCATAGGAAAAATAGATAAATTTTCTGGAGTGTAAAATCTTAATTAGGTTATGGAAGAGTCAAGTGTTATTGAATATATATGTAATTTAATTAGTGAATATAGCATTATATAAATGAGTGGATTTGTAATGGTCGATGCACTAGTTTTGAGAACGACTCAGATGGGTCTTGGAAACCTCCGGGTCTATTAAGGAACTGACATTAAGTTTCTCACTCTTTACTCGTTAAGTCCACAGAGACCTTGGTGAAACTTACAATGGCTTATTTCGATGAACCTAGTCTGGGTTATCTGTGAAATTCAGTGGGTTATGGAAAACGTAACCGACGTCATATGTTATGATATCTTTGTGTTCAAGGCTTTCTTCCTTGCTTTTGTCGTATGACTGAAAATCAATTCTTCAAATACTGTGCAAATATTGTTATATACTTTTGTGTTACGCAAATCGGAGAGGGTAAAAATATATAGTACTAAAACTACAAGTTAAGTATTTCTATTTTATTTTAGTTAAACGACCGAATTAAAACGTTGCCTCCTTAACGACAAAAAAAGCGATGGGAAATATAGCTTCATATTACTCATCAATAGCGGCTCAATAATTTAACCCTTGTTTTCTCCAAAAGTAGGAGAAACTTGACTTAAGAACGTTTACCCAGGGGCCACAGAATTTACACTCGTGTTCTTTGCATGCCAAGAATGAAAAAAGAGTAGCAATTATTGGCGGGCGCCGTCTTCCTTGCAGGCTTGCTCTCGCATTACATCAGTTGTATCTAAGCAGTAATGCACTGAATATGAGAAATTTGTCAGTGCGCGCAGTATGAAAAGAGGCTTAATAAAATAATTGCTATTTTCAGTCAATATCGAAATTGTTTCATTATTTTTGGATTTGCTTAGTTTTCTATAAGTATCTGAGCACAGTCAAAATTTGTAATATGCAAGATATTATGTTTCTTAAAACATAATATTCTGTTATAACATATTGAATTTATATTTTTAATATGTTAATATCTTGTTATTACATAATTATTATGTTCCTTATAACATAATATTATGTTAATGCTTTGTAAAAACAACAACGTAACATAGTATTCCATGCTATTGAATCACTACTTGGGAGTGAAAATGTAACCATTATCTTATAGAATATCTAACAGAAGGTTTTACTAGTTCAGCCCAACAACTCTGTGTCGCAATAGAGAGGATGAGGGTCGAGCATCGTGAACTACACAAAGAGTTATTTGCGAAAAAGGACGCACTGACTTAATATCTTCCATGAAAGGCCAGTTATCTTCTCGCTAAAACAACGGCTTTTATCTTCCCAAATGTTTCAGAATGCGATAGTTCATATGAAATATGATTGAGAAATGAGTAACCACTTTTGTTTTTGACAAGAGATTACGATGAATAATAGATTATGCGTTAAAATTAATTAGAAGGGAAGTATTTTTTTACGTTTTACATTGAAAATATCTTAATTTAAACATGCTGTTACAAAAAATATCGGCGCCATCTAATCCGCAAAAGGCTTGCTGCTTTGACATGCATTTATTGCTGAACTAAATCTAGTTTTTATTTCGGCTATTTAAGAAATACAAAGTGGTTGGTTAACCAGAAATTTGGTAGGAAGAAAAAGAATGTTGTCTTTAAAACGGAAATAATTTATTCTATCACAAAGTTTCAAATTATTATATCTTCTTCAGAGAGAAGTATTTCGGAATAAAAGTCATTGTTTACCTATGCGGAGCTCACAGTCTGATGACAGAAATGCAATGAGTACGCTTCCATGCTTACCTGACTTCCGATTGATTGACTGATTAGTGATTCAGGGCACGTCAACTGGTGAGGAAATTAGTTGCGTGTGTAGTGCATGTTTATATTGCGGACGTTAGGGGTAATTTGGATGGCGTGATCCGCCGCGGTGCCGGCATGTCCGTCGGCTAGCGTGGTTTGCCCTAACAAGGTATTTCCCACCAGAGCGACACCATCCAAGCTAGGACAAGCTATAACCTCCCTACTTGTCTCCCGGCGCGTGTGGTTGCGTAATGCATGTAAGTGTGTGTGTAAGAGGGCGAGGATAGGAAAAGAAAGACTCAGGAAAGATTGCACGCGGACCGTGGCCCATTTGTTATGATACTGCTCCAGCATTCGCCTGGTTTTGATCAGAGAATCCACGGAAAATTACAAAATTACGCAACTAGAATTGTGGAGATAGCGCCTGAATTCGACCTAGGGACTCGAAACTAGGTCCTTCCTTTCGGAGGCACTGCAGTGACATCAATTCATACCCTGAGCCAGCTAAACCGGTTCAGGAAATGTAAAGGATGTGTTGTATCACACACTTTCACACTTTTTGCTGTTTTTTTTCCTAATTCCCGTACTAAATATAATCACTAACTTTAAATTAAGTACGTTTTGCATGAAAAAATGTGAAAATTTAATCTATGTCATTTTCTCGAAAAGAGCAAAGCACGCGTACCCCTTTTTCCCGTTTTCTCTAAATTCGATGTTTTCGCAATTTGGAAAAAATTAACATTGCAAAACTTGCAAAACAATTGCAAAACATTGCAATATTGATAACCGATTTTTTGCTATGGTTTCGATTTGAACAAAATACATCTTTCAATAAGTTCATGCACAACATTTTCAAAAAAAGGGTTTTCGCTTTATTTTTGTTTAGAGTCAATTTATTGTTTTTTTCTAAAACAGCTCCAATTTTTTCTTTAATTCGTTTCTCAAATGGAGCAAAGGACGCTTACAAATTGTACAATTCCCATTTTGTTATATCTGCACCCTGTTCGGACCCACTTTCAATAGTGTTGCACAGAGGTTTCACTGGTGTGATGCACCCCATCGTTGTTGGCAGTATCTGTCCTCGTGTCATAAATTATTTAATTTTCTAATAGTACAAACTCTTTGATTGTCTGGTTTAAATTAATTGTGAAGTATGTTTTGATTATAATATGTACTTGTTACATAATAAACATTCTCAACGAATCCAATTGAATATTTTATATCATTTGTAGACATTAAAATAAAACAAAAGGTTAAAATTTTTAAAAAATATAGAAAATATCTTCATTGTTTTTAGAAAGTAAAACATTATTTTGCAGTAAAAGATACAAAGAAATTAATAGAGATTGTAGCCTGTTTTATATAAAGGTCCTAAAACGGATATAGTATTTAAACTCGTTATGTTATAGCAAACGTTAAAACAATATTAAACAAATGAAAAACAAACATAGAAATTGTCAATAAGCAGGAAATGGATATAATCTGCATCACTATCAGTAATGTAATCTTTCACCATCAGTATCACTAAATGCTAGTTCCAGCAAAACAAATCTCGAGAACTCGTCTGCTTAGAGCCATTTTCATACCAAAAATATCCCCGACGTACACAAGACTAGTAAA